GTATTTTCAAGTAGACTTTGAAACGTATGAAAAAAAATAAATATTTCCAGATTTATTTCGGATTTTTAATCTCACTCAACTACCTATACAGTATAGTCTGGTAAACGTTGTTTAAATTAAACGTGTTCAAATAAAATGAATATCAAACGTCAAAAGGTAAGACCTAAACAGTACTTAGCTCGCACAAGTTTCGACTTCTGAGGGTTGTCGTTCGTAGGGGTGCGATAGCGGGTGGACGGAAAAAACAAATTTCAAAGCATAAACACATTTTGAAACATATTTTTTAAAATAAATCAATCAGTGCCTTGTATCACTTGTATCAAGGAAATGCCGAAAACTCTCAAACTACGCAAAGAAAACAATCCCGAGATTTAAAATAATAAAGTATACTTGATAAATAATTCAATATCTTGTGATGAAGTATATGTGACTCACCTTGAGTTTTGTACCCAATGCATGACAAAAAACGAGAAGATATGATCGAACCTACTTATAAAATCCTTTGACATATTCGGACATGCAATATCTAATGGCATGAATTTCATTCTGTCGTTCGTCGCTTGTTTACTAGCATATTCGACCATGATTTCTGATACATCAGTGCCGATGTACTCCTTGAAATTCGTTGGTAAATATGGCCATAATGACTCCATAGAATTTCTGCCGTCTCCCATGCCAAATTCCAATATTGATTCATCGCTTTTCCAGTTGAATAAATTTTTATACTTATTCATGTAAAATTTGCTCGACTTTAAGCACATATCGCTATTTTTGGACCATGCTTCTGGTTGAATCATGACTGTAGAACAATGTTTGTAGTTGCTGTAGTAACTTTTTTTTGGAACTGTTTTGTAAACTTCTAGAGTGGCGATTTGATACTGTTTCAATAAACTGAAGTATGGTTCATAACGAAGTAGTCTGGCTTATATATACGAGTCAATAAGGGAGGTCATTATATACCTATCTTTATTGGTGCCACCACCAATAACGATTTTGATAAGCAGGACAAGTTATAAAAAATATTACTTTTGAATTATTCAAAAAACCTAATTATGCCTGTGCCGTAACTGTGACGGTGAATTGTTTTTTCTGAAAAAATACACTCCTATTCTTTTTTCACTCTTTCAAGTTGAAGATCATGCAATTTTGCATCGAAATAGCCCAAACGATTTGAATTAGAAAAACCATTAGCCAAATATGGGAGTTATGAAACTCAACATTTCTCCACATTTTTGAAAAATTAATATTTCACTGGTGACGTGATGAGAAACAACAGTTACAAATTTGGTTATGATCATAACAAAGTACGTATTTTTGAATGCTGTAAAAATGAATAAAAAAACGTGTTTTCGGTATTGTTTTTTTAATCTTCACGCACGTTACAAATAATGAAAAGAAAACACTGAAAACTTGTGTATTATGAATTGTAAAAAATAATTGATATAAATGAAAATAGCAGAACGATAAAATATAATAACAAAATTGTAATAAAGAAGGGGATTATTTTTATATATCAAGCGCACGTCGCTTTTTTCACAATAATATTAGTATTTTTCGTTCGTTTTTGTTTTAAGCTTATTTCAAAAAAATATTTTTAACTTTTTAGTTCGATTTTCTTCAAAAGCGTATTTTTTAGTTCATTTTAAACTATATTGATTCTATGGCTGTTGTTGAAATTGAACCATCTGCTTGTGCTTCTTTATCACAATCATTACCAAAAGCGCTGTTTTGGCAGCGCTTTGGTTCAATTTGAATTCGTAAAGAAAACTTTTCAGAATTCAGCTGAAAAGAGACAAACAATTGAAAAAATTGAAAAAATCGTCCTCTGTAAGGGTGGTATCAAACATATCAAAATCATCAAACGTGAATCTCAAAGAATACAACTGAACTGATAATTAGATAAATTTGAATTTTGCTCGTCACAAACGCACTTGTTCTGGTAGCTGTTCAAAAGTAAAGCACACATTGTCTATCGATTCTGACATATTATGAAACAGTAGTATAAATATTCATTGAGATATATAGCTACAAAAACACATGACATTAAAAGGGACAAAACTTTTGAAACGACCTAATATCTCAGAAGAACTGCACGAACTGTTTTTGTAAAGCCACTTTCTTTCAATCCAAATGTTAACATTTTCTGTCACTGAATAAAAATAAGATCATGATATATGTTGCATAGCAGAAATCAAATCCAATTTTTTTTTTTGTCATTCTAATGAGGGACACAGAGACATACCAGTTTTATAATGGAAATAACTATCTTGATTCGAAGAAACAAATAACAACCCTAACCTGAATCGTGAAATACAACGTATGTCTCACACATACTTCCTAATCCAAAATTCGACATGATATCACGAATATTGAGATACCTTGTATATTGAAAAAATTCCACAGGACATTGGAACGGGGACACTCAGCTGACTATCTATAAAGATAATTTTCATTGTCTTTTTACGACGACAAATTATTTAGGGTCATAAATAAATCATTAATTATTCATATATCTCATCTTTTGGCAATAATGAAAAGTTGATTGCCATTTCACTATCTGTTGGAATTGATTTAAGTCAACCTTTTTGAGCAAAGTTGTAGTA